GATGATACGATAATATATTTTCTTCCCAAATGTTGATTTATGTACCTTCAACACAGTATACCCAGTATAGAGTGCTAGGAAGTGACATAGATTACACTATGCACCTTGAGGGTTTTATTTGTGAATAAGTAAATGAATGAATACGTACTTGCTCTCCTCTAGGTCACTGTGTTCCCCGCAAATTCCTGTGTTAGAATCTCATCCCCAGTGTTAGTATTAGGAGGGACCTTTGGGAAAGAATTGAATCATGAGGGTAGAACCTTCAGAAATGAGATTAGTGTTCTTGTGAAAAATACCTGAGGGAGCCTTCTACTATGTGAGAACAAAGAAAAAAAAATTGCATCTATGAACGTTAATGAAACTTACTGAACACCAAGTCTGATGGCACTTTGATCTTAGTCACTCTAGCCTCGTGATAGCTATATAGAAGCTACTTGGCCTGTAATAGCAGCCTCTAAAGAATAATAAAAAATTGGTACTAATAATTATAAGTACTGATGTGACAGGTATCTAAAAATTTGGAAGTGACTTTGGATTTGAGTAATGGGCAGAGACTGGAGGAGTTTTGAAATACATGTTAGTTGGACCGGCAGTTGGCATAATGGCTATGTCGCTGGACTACCGTGAGGCTAAGTACGGTTCGAGTCCCACACCCGGTGGCTTAAACTCACGTCACACCAGGCACATGTGCATGAGTGCCCAAGATCCCAAGAGAAGAATGGAGGAGAAGGGATTGCAGCATGTCCATCCCCCCTGGGGGGTGATTTCTCACTTTCTGTCTCTCTGTCTCTCTCTCTCTCTCTTTCTGGAGAGCACACGTGCCCTATAGCAAAAACCTCTCCCAAAGAAAAACAAAACAAAACAAAAAAAGAGATACATGGTAGAAAAAACTTCATTATCATGAATGGACTGTTAAGAGTGACTCTAAGTGGATGGCATAATGGTTACATTGCTGAATTCCCATGCAGTCGACTACAGTTCTAGTCCTGAAACTGGCAGCTTAAACTCGTGCCCTGTGCATAAGAATGCATGCTCAAAATCCCAGAGGATAAAGAAGGAGAAGGAATTGCATTGTGGCCGTTCCCCCAGCCCGGGGTGGGGGTGGGGGGATGATTTCTTGCTTTCTGTTTCACTGTCTCTCTGGCATGCACATGTACCCTATAGTAAAAAATCTCTCGGGAACCAGCAGTTAGTGTAATGGCTATGTTGCTGGACTCCCACGTAGTTGACCGCGGTTTGTGTCCCGGAACCGGTGGCTTAAAACTCACGCCGGGCGCGTGTGCGTGCGTGCCCAAGATCCCGAGAGGAGAATGGAGGAGAAGGGATTGCGGCGTGAACATCCCCCCCTGGGGGGTGATTTCTCGCTTTCTGTCTCTATGTCTCTCTCTGTCTGTCTGGCGAGCACACGCGCCCTACAGTGAAAATCTCTCCAAAAAAAAAAAAAATCTCTCAAACGAACAGACAAAAAAAAGAGTGACTTTAATGAGAGCTCACAAGAAGAGGAGCGCTTAAAGAAAGGTTGAGTAGTCTCAGAGAATAGCTAAGTGATTGTGAACAAAATGCTGGTAGAAAGATGAACAGTAAAAGACATTCTGATGAAGTTTTAGACAGAAAGGAAGAACACATAACTAAAAACTGGCAAAAAGGTGATCTTTGTGATAAAATGTCAATGAACATGGTTGCATTGGTTGTGCCCTAGTGTTTTGTGGAAAGTAAACTTGTGCAGGATGTAAAAGTATATTTAGTAGAAGAAATTTATTTTCTTTCCTTTTTTCTTTGGAGAGGTTTTTGCTATAGGGCACATGCACTTGCCAGAAAGACAGAGAGGCAGAAACTGAGAAATCACCCCCCAGGAGGGATGGCCACAACACAATCCCTTCTCCTCCATTCTCCTCTCAGGATCTTGAGAACACACACACACGTGCCTAGTGTGAGTTTAAGCCACCGAGTCCAAGACTCAAGCCTCGGTTGACTACATGGGAGTCCAGTGACATAGCCATTATGCGAACTGCTGGTCCCAGTAGAAGAAATTTCTAAGAAAATGTTGAAGATGTGGTTTGACTTGAGTTCTGTAGGAAAATGTAAAAAGAGATAATTGATTTAAATATGGAATATTAAATCAAAAGGAAAACAAAACTTCAAGATTTGGAGTACTCTCAGTCTGTCTATATGGAAGCAAATGAGAAAGTGGGTTTGGGGAGAGAACACCAAGCATATGGCCAAGCAACCATTGATAAAATTAATATAACTCCATTAGGTGCTATTCATGAAGACCATGAAAAAAGGTATTTCGAATATCATATGGTTTGTTGCTAAGTCCAGAGTGCCAAGGACTTCAAGACAAAAGGATTTCAAAGGAAGGGTGTTAGGCCCCTGATGATCATTGCTCAACACTGCCTCAAGGTTGTGTTGTATTTTGGAACATTGCTGCTTGGCTACCCTGTGCTACACAGGTTGTGGTGGTTGCCCTTCTGGAGGAACCAGGTGGTAAACTTTGGCAGCCTCTTCCAGATGCCATCTCTGCTCCTATACAGAGGTTAGGCACCATGGGGACTTTTTTTTAACTCCACCTAGATTTTGAGGGATGTAACTTCTTCCCTAACCCATGGACACATGAATCAGAAAGAAAATCACAGCATAAGTCCCCACCATGTCAATGCCTAGTAAAACCATGCAGACCCAGAGGTCAGACAGGTAGAGTCCCCAGAATGCAATTCCAGCTTACAGAGGCTACACCACGACTATTGAGAGCTGCAGCATGCATCATGCCTAGCAAAGCTATGGGTGGGGCACCTTGAGTCTTGAGAACCCATCAATCCATCCTCCACCCCAGTGTGTACAGAAGGTTAAATGTCAAATAAAAATATTGTTTTAAAAATGTATGTTTTAATGGTGTTTGCCCCATTTGGCTTACAGTAATTAAGGAGGTTCTTTTATACCTTTATTATTTCTTATCTCTCTTGGAATAGGGATGTCTATTCTATGGCTGTCCCATCATCATAATTTGGAAGCTCACACATGTTTGATTCCACAGGTTTATAGTTGGAGAGGAATTTGCCTTAGAATGATTCGTATCTTGAATCTCGCCCATATCTTATTTAGAAGCTAGTGGTGAAACTCTGGGCTTTAGATTTTTGATTTGATGCTGAAATGTGTAACATTTGGGGGACTACTGGGGTGAAATAAATACATTTTCATTCATTGTGAAAGAACAGTATAGAATTCTATGCATTGGATGTTTATGATCTCTCCGAATCCATATGTTAAAACTATAACCACCAAGGTGAGGGTATTAAGAGGAAGGGCTTTGGGAGGTGATTAAATAATGAGGATTTCATCGACATGAATGATTTAGTGCTCTTACAAAAGAAGGTCAATAGAGTTTGTTTTACCTTTCACAATGTGAAAGCGCAAGAAAATGCCATCTGTGAATCATAAAATGGCCTCTTCTCAGACACTGAATTTTCTGGTATCTTGATCTTAACCTCCAGAATATGAGAAATATTTTTTTGTGGTTTAGAAGCTATTCAGTCTATGTATTTTATAATAATATCCTGAATGGACACTCCCAGAAAGAACAATTACAATGGGAAAATATTACCCATGGTAACTAAACTATAATTAGATGTAATAGAAAAACTAGAAACTTTAGCATGATGAAATAAGTTTTCACTTTTAACCTTTTTTTTACATTACTGCACAAAATAAAATTCAGTTACAAAGACCTCCCCCATCAGCTTCTGCCATAAGAGTTACCCTGGTCATGGTGGCACCAGCTAACTGTGTAGAGACATAGAGCTGCCTAGTTCCTGTAGAAGACTTGATAGCATCCAATACATTTCGTATTCCTCTGACTTTTTATTTCTTGCCATATACTATAATATTTGAAATTCAAAGTGATATATAAGATAGCATACTTTTTTTTTTTTGAGAGTTTTTTGCTATCGGGTGTGTGCGCTCGCCAGACAGACAGAGAGAGACATAGAGATCGAAAGAGAGACATCACCCCCCAGAGGGGATGGCCACACCACAATCCCTTATTCTCCATTCTCCTCTCGGGATCTTGGGCACACGCATGCACACCCAGCGTGAGTTCCAGCATGAGTTTTAAGCCACCAGATCCATGACACAAACCATGGTCGACTACATGGAAATCCAGTGACATAGCCATTACACTAACTGCTGGTCACAAAGATAACTTATTTTTCAAACAAAAGCTCCAAATAGCAATGTTACCATGATGAAGCAAATAGTACAAGGTTATAGAACAAGCTAGAAAACAGAGCTAGGATTAGAGCTCATGCCAAATCTAGAGCTTATGATTTCCCTTGCTCTACAATGCAAATACCAACTACAGCACCTACAATAGACAAAGTTGGCTTTTAAGTGGAAGAGAAGCCAAAGTCAGGGAAGAAGGAGACGTTTCACTGAAATCTAAAGACTTCGTCAGATTTCTTAATCAGTTAGCAAGATTTTAATGTCTAGGGTCTATGATTGAAAGAAGTCAGATAAGCTACTCATGATAACATGACACGACGGCCCATGAATTTTGGAAGTTGGTGACAATAGGTATGCTCAAGGCAAGAACTAGAAGAATGACTGCTTCAAATGGAAGCTGAAGTAGTTTCATAGGTAATCAACAAGGAAACATTTAGTGGAGTTTATGGACTGCACTGAACCAATCACTGGAATTCTAAAATTCTTCACGTCTCGTGTATGAGGTAAGTGAATAGGAGTAAATAGGAATTCTTGTCTGTATACTTAAGATTTTTTTTTTATTTTAATTGATCTTAATGAAACAGAGGATAGCTCATCTACTTCAGAGATGTCTAAAGTTACTTGGAGAGAGAAATAGAATGTGAGTATGATTATTCCCAACTAATTAGAGAAAAAAAAAACACAAAAATTTGCAGACATTTCTGTGTAATATAATCAAAATAATTATTATATATTCAGTGTCAGGTTAGTGAAATATTCTGTACTGGAGGTTATAAAAAGAGATACACTTCGGCAGCACATGTACTAAGATTGGAATGATACAGAGAAAATTAGCATGGCCCCTGTGCAAGGATGACATGCAAATTCATGAAGTGTTCCATATTTGTGACTCCAGAAATAATCCTCAATACATACAGCTAACTCATCTTTGACAAAGGATGCCAGTCAATCCAGTGGAAAAAGGGAAACCTCTTTAGCAAATGGTATTGAAAAACCAGATATCCACTGCAGAAAGATGAATCTGAACCCCTATCTGTCACCACTAACAAAAATCAACTCAAAGTGAATAAAAGATCTAAACCTAAGACCGCAAACTATAAAACTACTGGTGGAAAACAGTAGGGAAACTCTGGGAGATATTGGGGTAGGCAAAGACTTCTTAAGCAATACCTCCAGAGCACGAGCAATAATCCCCCAAATAGACAAGTGGGATTGCATCAGGTTAAGAGTTTCCCCATAGCAAAGAACACTGTAATTAGTGTGAATCGACAACCCTTGGAATGGGAGAGATTTTTTGTTAACTGTGTCTCAGATAAGAGACTGATAACCAGAATACACAGGGAACTCAAGCAGCTTACCAGGAAGAAAATGATTAACCCAATTAAAAGATGGGGAAATGAGCTGAATAAACAACTCTCTAAGGAAGACAAATGAACAGTCAAAGAGCATATGAAAAAATGCTCAACATCCGTCACTGTAAGGGAGATGCAGATCAAAACCACAATGAGATACCACCTAACCCCAGTCAGAATGGTGAAGATTAAAAGAGCAAATAATGATAAGTGCTGGAGGGGATGTGGTGAAAGGATACATTCCTACACTATTGGTGGGAATGTAAATTGGTCCAGCCACTGTGGAGAACCATATGGAGGTTCCTCAAAGACCTTCAAATAGAACTACCATAACATCTAGCAAGTCCACTCCTGGGTATCTACCCAAAGGACAGGAGAGCACTCAGTCAGAAAAGCGCTTGCACATCTATATTCATTGCAGACTTATTCACAATTGCTAAAACATGGAACCAACCAAAATGTTCACAAACAGATGAATGGATTGAAAAATTGTGGCATATATACTCCACAGAATACTATTCAGCCATAAAAAACAACAAGGCCCTGGAATTTGATAGAAAGTGGATGAATATGGCAGATTTGTTGCAAATGAAGCAAGTCAGGCTATGAAAGAGAGACATTGCATGTCTCCACTTAACATATATTGACTGTTTGCACTCTAGGGGAGAGACTAAAAGACTGGAAAACATAAAAGTATTACAAATTTTAATGGACACTAGACACAAAGTCAAAGAGAGTGTGAGAGGTAAGAGTGTAGGAAATTTGGGGGGTGGGAAATGGAGAGGTAAGATACTTGTGGGATACAGATAAGGTTTATTATCTGTTGACAAGGATGTGAGTGGTGGTGTCAACTGCGTTGGACTGAAGTGTACATCATGCTGGGTGGAGTCTCTTCACAATCTAAATGATGTATAGCGACTTGGTGTATGAATAATAATAAAAAATACAAATTATAAAAAAGAGAGATACACAAAACCTGACCTTAAATAGGATTTCAATTTACTAGAGAGGTAGAGGTAGGTGGAAAAGTAACTGTGATGCAAAGCATTTAAATTGATAAATTAGATTATTATTATTATAGTCAGAATAAATATTTTTAGCAATAAGAATAAATGAAATGAAATGAAAATTCACTTGTCCAAAGTTAAGAAAGCAGAAGTGATTATTAAGGCATTTCAACAACGTCCTGATTGGTAGGATAATGCAGTTTTGTACCAAGACTAATTTGACCTTACAGAAATTAAAATAGCAGTTTCCTAACAAGATAGAAAGTATCAGATGAGAAATGAGCAATTATCAGCTGATGCCCAGCCCCTGGCAAACCTAATGTTTACATAAAAGTACATCCCCTAATACAGTACAGTAGCATTTTGTCAGACAATAATGCTTGAAGATATTAGAAAGCACTTGGTACTTTAAAAAGTTGCACCTTAGCAGACAGGCATCAAAATGCAAATTATGGATACAATTTTCCATTGTTTGAAAATCTGCTAATTAATGTAAGGTGAAAACAAGGGCTACTTGTATCATACTGTCTCTGTTGTATAATCAATAACTTTTTCCCCTTTAAAATTTATATTTCCTTCAGTAAATTTAATATTGCATCAATTGTACTATTGAAAATCTATATGTGTTTGTATGCATATGTGTATTTTATGGTATGCTCTCTAAAGAAAACCTTTTAAAAAGTCAGGTTCTCCCAGCACCAAAAAGCTTTTCATCTTTTTCCACTTCCAAAATACTGTATAATTTAAACGTAGTTGTAATCTTCAGAATGATTGAATGTACAATTTTGATTTCTGCTGTTGTACTAACGTTCTTTTTGTTAAAAAGTTTACATGTTTCTTTCATAAGCAAGAGAGAAACAGTGGAGAGAGAGAGAGATAGAGAGAAAGAGAGGGAAAAAAATTTCCAGAAAGGTCTTATTACTTTGGTCATCTTCCTACCACAATATCCTAAACAGGGTCTTAATATTTTGATCTACCCCAGCATCAGCTAGGCCCAGATTATTGGCACTTACATGTATGGTGTACCCAGAGAGGTCTGCAGACACAAACCAAGTCAGTTCTGAAGAAGATGGTTGAGGATTCATGGGGCCATAACTTGCAGCAGTGTTAAGGCTTAGGTAACTTGACTATTAGTATTCATGTGATGGGGAGGAGGCAGGTGGGATAGTGTTTAAGATGGCTGGATTCCACATGGCCAGTGTCTCTTGAACAAAAAGGTCAACAGAATTATCACTTTTTTTGTGCCATCTTAATTTATGTTGTTAATGCAATCCCAGCTATGATTTTAATATTATATTAACCACATTTTATTCAAATAATGTATGTATTTTGCAGAGAGTTTTTTTATAGGTCTAGATTGCTTTATTTTCAGAAGTTGGATGAACTTTAGTGGCAGAGAGAGAAAAAAGAGTGAGAGTTAATGTAAAATGTACTAAAGATTTTGAACTGACTGCAATGATATTATGTTATTATATCATATTATATTTATTATACATTTGAAATATAAAGTCACCCTGATTCATTTCTTTTTTCTTTGAAGTCTAATAGCCAGACTCTTACAGCCTTGTACTTTCTATCTCAAAACTGTATCGTGTCTGCTTTTCTCCGTGTTCTATCCTAACCACCTCACTAGTCTAACCAGCACCATTATTTGCAATCCCATTGCTCTTCCTGATTCCAATTTTAATTTCAGTTTATTCTCCATATATCGGCCAACTTAAGCCCTTCAATTTCTTCTCATTGTCTTCAGGAAGAACTTGACCATGGATAGTAAATTACTATGTTACATGAAATTTCTATCTGTCTCTCCACCTGTGTCTCTAGTGTCTACCATTTCCTTTCTGCCCACAACAGTCACATGGACTTACTGTTAGCTCTTTTTGCCACCCGCTGGTCCCTGTATCTGACTTTTTTTTTTTTTTTTTTTCCCTTTTGGAGAGGTTTTTGCTATAGGGTACATGTGTTTGCCAGACAGAGAGAGAGAGAGACAAAGAGACAGAAAGCGAGAAATCACCCCCCGGGGGGATGGCCACGCTGCAATCACTTCTCCCCCATTCTATTCTCGGGATCTTGGGCACGCATGCACACGCACCCAGCATGAGTTTTAAGCCACCGGGTTCAGGTCTCGAACTGGGGTCGAGTACATGGGAGTACAGCAACATAACCATTATGCTAACTGCTGATCCCAGGACTTATTGTTTGCTCTTAATGTGTGTCAAACTCTCTGCAGTACAGAGCTTTTCACATAGTCTGTTTCTCTTTAACTCTTCATTTCTTCAATGCTCATATCATACTACTTCTCATTCTACTCACCATTAATTTATTTACTCACGTCTGAGTCTTTTCCTATATGCCACATCTTTTGAGAAATCTTTCCTTCCTTTCCTTCGGTTGCATTATTTAGTAATTCTGCATCTCCATATTTAGTATGTTCTCTTTCTGACACATCACACACAATACATACAGATACAAATTATTTTATTTACTTTTTGTCTTCTTCCCATAGAGGAGATAACAGCAAAAAGCCATAGCTCATGTGTATTTCATTAATTAACAAATGCCTGGTGTCACATAATGGAATTCAAGAAATGGTTACTGAATGATTGAGTGAATTCAATCTGTATGTGAGGCAATTAGGAAACAAAAGATTTTTGAAAATGAAAAAGTGCTAGGTGTAATGCAAGTGGAAAAAAATGGAAAAAAAAGCTATTCGATAAGACTTGTTGACTACTACAAATAGGGAAACAGAATAATGTATTTATTTTCTTATTTACTAAATTGGTAATTATTTACTATACTGTTCCTGACAATGTGTAAAATATGTTAATCAGTATAATTTGAATTCCGTCTGCTAGAGAACAAAGAGTCTTAGATTCTGAATCTAACAACATTAAAAATGCTTATCCAAAATAGAGAAGTTTGGATTTTCCAGCTCTGTATTGATGTCTTCAGAGATTTGAGATCTGAAGTCTAGAAGTAGAAAAAGAAATTACTGACACTAATCTGCATAAAGAGAAACAATGACAAAATCTTATGAACGTCTAATATTCATTGATTAGGAGACTGCATCAAGGAAAGTTAGTTACTATGTTATGTCTACATACAAGTTTGCAAGTATAACTACTATCAATGTACATCTGTCATAATTACTGATTAAACAATAAAAATGGGCTTCGGTTAACTTAAGAATAAAAGATTTTCAAAAGGTTTCTGAAGGTCTAGCTTGAGTGTTTAAAAACCTTGACATTGTGGCAAGAAAGCTAAGAACAACTGACTGAGCTTAGGACCTTGAGAACACACGGAGGACGTAGAGCTGGAAGAGCAAGATGTCACCCTGGGCTACTGGACGCTTGCCTGCTACATCACCCCAAGCACAACCCCCTCCACTAAGTCCCATCAACAGTACTGCTTAGTTTTGGTCACTTTTGCAAGATCTAGTCTCTAAAGTGTTTTTTTTTTCTTTTTTTAAAAAATTTTCATAGGCCTACTTGCTTCTCTTCTAACAGTTTAGGTAAAGGAATGGGGACC